GAAGTCTCTAAGGCATACCCCCATAATGAGATTGGAAGTGAAGCTTGACTCATCATGGAACGAACCATGTCTAACAAGGTTCAATTACCCCTCTCAGCCACACCATTAAGTTGTGGTGTCCTAGGAGGTGTTAGTTGTGAAACAATTCCACATTCCTTGAGGTAGTTGTGGAACTCAATACTAAGATACTCACAACCTCTATCAAATTTGAGCATCTTTATCTTTATGCCCAATTGATTCTTGACTTCTTGGCTGAACTCTTTGAACTTTTCAAAGGTTTCTGACTTATACTTGATTAACTATATATAGCCATATCTTCTATAATCATCAGTAAAAGTCACATAGAATTGATTTGCATCCCTTGTGGTGGATCTGAAGGGCCCGCACACATCTGTTTGTATGAGATCCAACAATCCTTCACCTCTTTCACAGGAACCAATGAAAGGTGATTTAGTCATCTTTCCAAGCAAACAAGACTCGCATGTATCATCCGATCTTAAGTCAAATGATTCCAACACTCCATCCTTTTGGAGTTAGACAATGCATTTCTTGTTGATGCGTCTAAGAAAACAATGCCATAAGCATGCTTTTTCTAAACCATTAGATGAATCAATTTACAAAATACTATTACCTAAATTGTCTACAACCATCACTGTTTCATGCACGCAATCACAAGGTAAAGCTTCAGAATAGAATACAACATTTTTAATAGAAGAAATTGACCCATTCTCATTATTAAAAGAATATCTAAAACCTTGTCTATATAAACCATGAAATGAAATGATGTTTCTCGTCATTTCTGATGAATAACAACAATTGTTCAAATCCAAATACAACCTACTACTAAGCACTAAGTTAAAAACACCGATCTTGGTAATAGGTGACGATCACCCATTGCCCATGATAAGGTCCTTGAAATATTATGTAAATACATGTCGAGGTTGGCTTCACTTTACCATACTTTATATTTTGCAAGTACTTTGGCATCTTCGTTTCCAATGCCCCTTATCATAGAAATAAAAGCAAGTGGCCTCCTTAGGATCAGAGGCAGGAGGAGCATCAGAACTAGCTTTTCCTTTGGGTCCATTGCTTGAGGACCCTGCTTGGGACTTTCCCTTCCAATTCTGTTTGGGAGCAGCTTTCCTCTTCTTCCACTTTCCTTGCCCAATAGCCAAGACAGGAGCAACATCAGGAGTGGAGGAAATACTCTTTTTCTTCATTTTATTTTCTGCAATTCTCAACAATCTCTGAAGTTGAGCCAATGTGGTCTATTGGTTGTTTAAATTATAAGTCATGATGAACTGATAATAACAACTGGGCAATGAGTGCAAGACTATGTCAATAACCAATTCTTCATCAGAGTTCACATTGACCTTCAGCAAGCGTTCCACATATCATTACATACATTACAAGTGGCTTGTGGCAGACTCTTTGTCCTTAATCTTGCTGGTAATGAGGGACTTTACCACCTCATATTTCTCTTGACGAGCTCATTGATCGTACTTTTCCATCAAGTCCTTGTTCATCTCATATGGAAAGTAATCCACACAGAACATGTGTAGCTCAGGAGTTATAGTAGCCACCATGATGCATGCCACTTTGGTAGCATCATTGCAATGTCTCTTATACTCAGTTAGTTGTTCAAGAGTAGCTTTTTTCATCAATCTCGACGAGTTCTTTTTTCAAGCACATACTCCTTATCCTCAAAGCGTAAATCCATCTTGATGTTCACATCCAATCATTATAATTGGTGCCATAAAATTAAGGCTAGGATCCAACTAAATAATTAACAATTGTTGGAGGAACCAGAAGCATTATTGGAAGTTGACATCTGAATAGAAGAAGGACAAGTTTTGATTAGATAAGAATAATCCTCAATATAACACCCAAATGAAATATTAAGGCTAGGATCCAACTAAATAATTAACAATTCATGAAAGGGATGCCGTAATCTAACTATAAATTATTTAGAGGTAGGTAAATGATGATTCACCAATTTCACCACGAAAACAAAATTTAACGAATTAGGTTTTAAATGAAATTCCTAGATCTTTTGAGATTCATTGAACTATTCAATGGCATGTTTAATCTCGATTATGCTCTTCCATTTGTGACTGGGATACCGAGGATCACAAACAAGATGTGAATAACCATGCAAATTTGCTTGTTACTCTCGATGTCATTTATCATCCAATCAATGTGTCGGTTAGCCAAATACGTTCCATTAATCAATGATAATTTATGAGACACCCATTACCACCATTTATTAGTCTATATTAGTGTGTCGGTTAACCACACACGCTCCACTAACGACTTTTATAAAGTGTAATATGTAATTTCATGGATTAACATCAAATTCACATTTTTTCTAAAGTAACTAAGATTAGGAATTTGTTGAAAGCATTTAGTTACTTTATTAATTTCATTATACTTATTAATGAGAATTAAGTGTCCTATCAAACCCGTTCAGCTAACGGCCTTCCACCAATCAAGGAAGCGGTGGGTGAGAGTGGACACCTATTCAACTAACATGTCATAGGCAATTTCATTATACTCCATTATAGATCGGCTTCGTGAATGAGGCGTACTAGCAGTTCGACTGACTTGTTTTATACATATAGTAATATTAAACTTTTAACTTTACACATAGTATAAGGTGTATTTTAAACATTTCAAAATACTAGGGTTTTATAATCTTTTAATTTTTTTCGAAATTAAAACACTTTAATTAAATTTAAATGAAATTGATTTAATAATTATCTATTAATTAAACCTTTTAATTAATTTATTAAATCATTTGAGGATTATCCAATTAAATAATCAAAATAATTTAACCTAATCTCTTACCCCTAAATTTCGAAAATATGGGAGGGATATAATAAAATTCTATAATTATCTAGTTAATCAAATAAGACGATAATTACCAAAAATAAGAACTGTACCCATAACCCTAATTTTTGAAATTATCATATCTTGGGGATGAAGACAAGGTTTTCAATCCTTGCCATATATTCGAAAATCCCTAGGGTTAGGAAACCTTAAAATTTGAAATTTTGTAGGCCAAAGGAAACGGTTAAAACACTTATCCAAATTTTCGAAAACTAGTTTCAAGAAACCATAATTTGCGAAAATCCTAAGTCCAAAGGGTTTAATTGCCATAAACCCTAATTGTCAAGTTCAACCAATTGCATCATATTCAATAGCAAACAAACTAAGTCTTTGATACCACTGATGGGTTTGGAGCATAACAAACAATCCCTATGGTTCTTCCTTCTTCTCAATAATTGTCTTCTTACCAACGGCATAGCCTTTAGACGTTGATGAGTCGAACTTTTGTGGAAACCTTCTGGATCCAGATGGTTTCTTGTCACTTCGGCTAATGTAACGTTTTACCATCAAAGCTTCACCTTCGAATACATTAGAAAATTCGTTGTCACTATTAGGGAGTGACATCTTTAAGTAGAGGGCCACATATCTGTCCATGTGAATGTATCACATAATTTCCTTGCGCAAGATATTTGTTTCTTCATAATTACGAAGATTGCCAAACAATGAAAATAGATCCATGGTTGCAATCTTCTCATTATTCTTTAGACAATTAACATGATGTTCCCAACTATCACTCAGTGAGTCCAGAAACTTGAGAACCAAGGTGTTTCTAGTTTTATTTACGTTAAGACGACGTATATTGTTCACTAAGCAATTAAAGCGGTTGAAAGCTTAAGTAAGAGATTCATTTTTCTGTTGGAAAAAGTGCTCGTATCATCGGTTTAGATTGTTCTTGATGACAACCTTAACTTCACCAATTCCTTCATACGCTACTATCAACGTATCCATCATCTCCTTGGCGGATTTGCAATTTTGAATAAAATGGTAGATGTCATAGGGAAGAGTGTTTCCTATGGCAACATGAGCTTTGACGTCAAGAGCAACCAGACGCTTGTCGTCTTCATTGAGCTCATGAGCAGGTTTTTCGACTTCGTCACCTACCTTAATGTTATCCTTCATGGGCTAATACACGGGAACATGCAGATCGTTTTTGATGATATCCATAATGGAATAGTTCATGGTTTCAAGGTCCATCATGGATTTTGACTTTTACATGGTGAAGTTTTTCTCATCAAACTGTGGGTTTTTATGACCATAACTGGTTTTAGAGTAATTGGATGAAGAAGAAGACATTGTTAATCAATATCAGTGAACTGTTGTAATACCAGTTATGAGATCCCTAATAGAGATCGATTAACAGAAAGACAAAGAACAAAAGGTTTATCACAAATGTTTTTCACTAAGAATGCTCTCACCAAGAGAATAAGCATAAAGTCAGGGTTCATGAATTGGTAAATTACACGAACCCTGAATACATGATTTTCTAGTAATAACTAGTCGGTGAAAATCCCTACAAATTAAGGATTTCACCTAATCTATGTAAATACAAAGTATATCCGATATCTTGAAGATATCGGATATGCTAACTAACTATATACATATACATCTACAAAATATCATCACGCTGACACTGACTATGTCAATTAAGTCTTTACGCAGGAGCTCATGAGACGCTTGCATAGATGGAAGTCAACGTAACCTAGTTTTACCTCATCAAATTTTAAGGTTCAACCTTACAATAATGATGTGGGGTATGTTTTGTTTTTTTAGCGACATATTTAATATACTCATAAACTACTCCTTAAATTGACATATGTCTACGACGAAACTTGAACGCTCAACTTCAAGGAAAGATGACAACACCTAATACCGTTGGGCTAGAAGCTCTTCGATGATGTAGGATGGTTAGTATGCCAAATTGGCAAAGTGTGGGTGTGGTGATGAGATGAGTCGATGACAATGATATAACAACTAAAAAGTGTAGTTGTGTGGTGGGTATACAAGAGTGGCATGTGTAATTTTATCAAAGTTTAGGGTCGTCTTTGAAATATTGAAATACTTATTTTAAAGGATCTAAATTTCCACGAAATAATCAACTACTAACCTCTTATATTTATATAACCAGTCACATCATAGCACACTTTTGTTGGCGAAGCCGTCACATTTGAGTCTCACCCTTCCACAACTTGTTTCGTAAAATGGAGCGTTAGTCGTCTTCTTCTTCTTCCTCCTCTCTCTCACAACACAATTATCTACCCATTTCTTCGTCATTCTTAGATTAAACAAATTCAATTTCTAGTTGACCCGTTTCGATTCACGCAGTCTTTCAGCATTTCAAAGAAAATTTCTAGGGTTTTGATTCGTAAACAAACTTTTGATAATGGACCCGGTAGCCCTCGATAGGATAATCGAACGGTTAATTGAAGTTCGATCGACTAAACCAGGGAAGTTGGTGCAGCTCTCAGAGGCTGAAATCAAGCAGCTTTGTGTTGCCTCTCGTGAAATCTTTATGAAACAACCTAATCTTCTTGAACTCGAAGCCCCTATCAAGATTTGTGGTATTTTCTGAATCCATTTCTTTAATGCTCAAGCGTTTAATCATTCAACCGATCTTTGTTGTTTCCGTTTCCTAATTTTGTTTCTGATGATTTGACTTTGCTTTACGCTTTATCTGATCGAGTGTTCGATCGAGGGTTTTCCGCTAAATGGGGATTTTATTTCTAACCCATAATTAACCCCCTTTTGTTTCTGGTTTCAGGCGACATTCATGGACAATACAGCGACCTATTGCGACTCTTCGAATACGGAGGGTTTCCCCCCCAATCCAATTACCTTTTTCTCGGCGATTATGTCGATCGAGGCAAACAAAGTCTGGAAACAATATGTCTCTTGCTTGCTTACAAAATCCGGTACCCTGAAAACTTCTTTCTTCTCCGAGGAAACCATGAATGCGCTTCAATAAACCGGATTTATGGGTTTTACGATGAATGTAAGCGCCGATTCAATGTGAAGCTATGGAAAGCTTTCACAGAATGCTTCAACTGTCTCCCTGTCGCTGCACTTGTCGATGATAAGATCTTGTGTATGCATGGTGGACTCTCCCCTGATCTTTCCGATTTGGATCAAATCAGAAACTTACAGCGACCAACTGCCATTCCCGACACTGGATTGCTTTGTGATTTATTGTGGTCGGATCCTAGTAAAGATGTGAAAGGATGGGGGATGAATGATCGTGGGGTTTCTTACACTTTTGGTCCCGATAAGGTGTCAGAGTTTTTGACAAAACATGATCTTGATCTTGTTTGTCGTGCTCATCAGGTTTTTTTGTAGCTCATTTCTTTTGACTTTTATTTTTAGGTTAAACTCAAGAAACATCAATTTACAAACATTTATTTGTTTAATTTAAAAGTGTTATGGTGTATTAGGTTGTGGAAGATGGGTATGAATTTTTTGCTGAGAGGCAACTTGTTACAATATTTTCGGCTCCAAATTATTGTGGGGAGTTTGATAATGCGGGTGCAATGATGAGTGTGGATGAGAATTTGATGTGTTCATTTCAAATCCTTAAGCCAGCTGAAAAGAAAAACAAGTTCTTGATGTCTACAAAGATGTAAAATTGTCTTCAACTGCCTAGTGTATTTCCCAAGGTTAGCTCAAATCTTATATCTTTTATATTGTTAATTTATTTGTTACAATGATATATGTCATTAGGTCTTTGTCTATGGTGATTAATATAGGTGTATTGTAATGATTCTTGATATTGTTTGTAGTGGTTATAGTATTAATGTCTTTTTGATAGTAATGACATTGACTTAACTACTTTCTTAATGGAAGAATAATTTCATTTTCATTCTATTGTTAGTGTAAATAAAGTTGTGGAAATGATATATTTTTTTGGCAGATAATGTTGGTTTTGGAGAAGAAGAAGAAGAAAAAAAAAGTGGGTGTTGCTCTTAGTTTTATGAAGATTCAATCAACTGTTGCATTTGTGTTGAAACTTGAAAGAAATGATGAAGAATGAGGGAGAAGAGGAGAAAAATTGTGTTTTAAAAGCTACTACTTACTTACTCTATTGAATGTGTCTTGTCTATATTTAGCTTTAGTAGACATTGTGAATGCTTTTCATCATTTTGGAAAATTGCCATTAAAACAAACTTGTAGCTGTTCCATTAACTAATCCAGAGAGGGCAATTTGGGTATTCTTTGTTTATGTCTGTCATCTTGATTTTGTTCAATCTTTTGGGTACACCAAGGATCTTAACATGTTATGAATGAAACCATATGGTGGAAAACATTTTACAAATAAAGTGTTAAATATGACGATTTTGAACTTCGTTATGAGTTAGTTACAAACTCTAATGATTCTTGTAACAAAAAGCATGTCCAAAAATTGTTTTTTCTGACAGGATTTGAAAATTTGAATTCAAATATAAGTATGGAATCTACTTTTTTAACTCAAATTTCACATAAAAAAATTGAAAGAATTGTTTTTTTTTTTTTGCCAACCAAATTCCTTTCGGTTCATTCAAAATCAAATGTTACAGTAACAATTCAAATTTAATCTTACAACTTACAACAACAATTCAAAGTCAAAACCAACAAGAACACAAACTACCAATAAAAAAAAAACCCATCTTATACATGACATACATAATAACTTTCAAAATCGTCCTTTTGCTGTGTATTTTTTTTTTCTCTAGTAATTTCCCAAGTTTGTTAGAATTAAACATAAGGAGACAACAAAAGCTATTTCTTGAGTAATTTAATGACGTCACCCACCAAATGCAATGAACCAGTTACAAGAACCTGATGCAACCACAATACACATATTCAATCAATCTTTAAAATAAATTTAAAAAAAAGGTCTATTTACCTTGAGTCGAACAGATTTATTGTGTTTAGCAGTGTCTCTTAACCACTTAATAGCCAACGGAAGAGATGCAAACACCACACTATTTTCACAGCTTTTAACGACACTTATTTCACTATACTCCGCATTATCTACATTACTACTATTCCCTGAGAATAAATATATCATCATTAATAAGAACACAATGGCATTTACGTAATTTTCAAAACAATCAAGGGTCGTTTTTGGAAATCAACTTGTACCTCTGTCACTAGATACAATATTCTCCCACACCCTTTGAAGTGTTAACTGCCATGACACATCCACTAGAGATTCGGTTTGTGGGAATGAAGAGGTGGTGGACCCCACTTTGGTGTAAAGCGACATATTTGGGACAAATAGCGCCTTATTGAAATTGATACCTGAAAACAGCAACCTACTTTACTCTCTTTTTTTTTTTTTTTTCCTCTACAAATAATGAAAATTAAAATTATTACCATGACCAACACATGTTTTTAATAGCCGAGGAAGTAGCAACTGTGGGTCCCTCACTGACATACAATTGAACAATAATATCTGCATTTTTTTTTATATGAGTTAAATGTTTTTCAACAAATCAACAAATAAAATATCATCGTTTGTCACTTAACCTGTGCTGAGTTTTCATTAGGATTGATAGGGACAATTTCAGAATTATTATTTTTCAACAAATTAGGTTCTTTGATTGCAAGAGAAAACCAATTTCCACAAGCTTCCATGCTTTCAGGGCTGTGGGCCCCATCCAAATAAAACACGATAGATCCTGGATTCTCGATATCAAGTGACGGGTCCCGCATGATCTGGGCCCGTCCTTGTAGGGCTGCGGTTGTCAGCCCTTTGATGAATTGTTGAGGGAGTGAACTCTGTATATCCAAACATAAATAATTGATTTTTTTTTTAATAAAAAGGGTGAATCTCATAAAAGGCCTTATATTTTGTTTTTTTTTCCGCATTAAACCTCAAATTCATTTTTTGCCTGAAAAAGACCTTGCATTTTTTTCATTTTTTCCAAAAAAAACCCTCAATTTTGTATTTTTCTTTCCGAAAAAACCCTCAACCTTCTCAATGCTTCCAAATAAAACCTCAACTTTTTTAGTTTTCTTGAAAAAACCCTCACATTTTACAATATTTTTTCAGGCAAAAAATAAATTTGAGGTGTAATCTGAAAAAAAAACACAAAATATAAGGTCTTTTTTGAGATTAACCCATTCTTTTGGAAAAAAAATGACAAAAAGGGCCGGATAAGAAAAAATGAAAACATAAAAGGTCTGTTTCAAGCAAAAAACTAAATTTGATGTTCAATCCGAAAAACACACACACACACACAAAATATAAGGTCTTTTATGAGATTAACCAAATTTTTCGATCCGACCCTTTTAGTCATTTTTTTCCAAAAAAGCTTGTAAAATGTGAGGTTTATTTTCGGAAAAAAAAAAAACTAAAAACATTAAGGGTTTTTTCGGAAACAGTTACAAGGTTTTGGGTTTTTTTTCGAAATTTTTTTTTTATGGTTTTTTCAGAAAAATTGAAAAAATACAAGGTTTTTTTCAGGAAAAAATAAAGTTTAATCCGGAAAAACCATAAAATATAATAGATTAACCGAAACAAAAAACCCTAAACATTAAACCCTAAAATCAGACTTACAGTCTGGTCAATGGAATCGAATTCCAGATGACCGGTTCTTTGGAGCCACGTTGAACATAACTTGATGGCAAGTCCAGCATTTAAATATTGGTGATCGCCTACAAGCCCAAGATCTAATCCATTCAACAACTTAACATCCAATGGATTTGCTACTTCAAGTGGTACCTATTGTAATACCAATCAACTTTGTTATGAAATCGATAATTTCAAGTTTTAAATATGAAATAAAGATAATATAAAATTACATCCAGCTGTGAAGCCTTTTCTATAAGTACTTCCATAGCTTCATCTGGTTGTGGAACAGTAAATGCAGGAACACCTTTCTGCATAAAATAAGTACACATTAAACTGTCAGCATCATGTCAGATGTAAATCAAGTACAGTTGAATGAGAATTTGGGAAGTACCTTAAAGATGCCAGCTTTTTCCCCTGCTATTAGTGCAAGAGTATCTCCTACTCAAATTTAATAAGACACATTTAATATGTATGTTAGTATGTAGGATTCAAATTGAGGAATAAAATTAAAAAATGTCAAAAACTAACCTAGGATTTCAGTGTGGTCATACCCTAGAGATGAAATACCACATACAATGGGGTTTTGAACCTGAAAAGTGAAAAATCATGTAACATATTTAGATTAGATTTTTTTTACATGTATCTATTTATAACAAATCCCTTTTCACTATTTAAAGTTTAAAGGTAGCATCTAAAAGAGTGCATACCACATTTGTTGCATCAAATTTTCCACCTAGTCCAACCTCCATAATGGCAACATCCACCTGGCATTCAAATGCAAGTTTTGAAGTATGAAATTATTGTTTTTTTGAAGTTTTTCTTTTGTTCTAGAAAGGGAAGGGATTTGATTAAAAAAAAGAAAAAAAAAAGGTACTTACTTGTTCTGCTGCAAAAATCTTGAAACCAAGTAAAGCAAGAAAACGGAATAGATTTGGCATTGGTATATCCATATCATCATTGCATTTCTCCTGCAAATATAAAACAGAATAAATTAAGAAATAAGTTCATTATGGCTTTTGGGGTTTGACAGAAATTAATAACTTGAGAAGAAAAGGGTACAATAAAGTAACTGGAACCATTTATAAAGGTCTGAAGAAGCAGAATGAGTAGTTAATATAAGATATAAATAATTACATTCAGAATGTTTATGAATCAGAAATCATGCCTTCAGTCTATCCCAACACCACCAGAAGTATGCCAAAAACTTCTCTTCAGATATGTCCACTCTGAAGCATATGACCAAAAATTATAGTTTAAAGAGATATAGAAGAAAAAAAAAAGCTTATACATTATAAGTTCATATATGTGTGATGACTATTATGGAGTTGAAAAACTCACCCATCCAGCCGAAATCTTTCTCTAACATCAATAAGGTGAGGAGATGTGAAAAGCCCTGTTCTAAACCCACAATTGCGTAGTATTGCTTCAGTAAATGTGCATGTTGATCCCTACAGAAATTCCAAATATACATCAGCATTAGTGATAAAATCGGCATTACATCTACTTTGAATTGGAGAAATTTTCAAAGTTAAATGGTTAATGATCAATGATTACCTTTCCTTTTGTGCCTGCTACGTGGATGATCTTCATCTTTGAAATTGACTCCTCCAAATCCAGAATCTGTAAGAGAAATCAGATTGCCTTAAATCAGGAGTGCTAATAAGTAATTACACAGTAATTTCATATTCCAAAACGAAGTTATGTGTTAGTAGCAACTAATATCCACCTTGACGTAATCGAAGAGTAGCTCAAATCTATGGCCGCTGTTGCTCGTATCAGCACGACTTTTCTGAGTAATCAGAGACGATAAAGCGTCCATTGCTTCATCATAAGCTGAGACACTACTAGCTTCATTGGATCCACATTCACCATCTTCACCGACACCAAATAGTAAAACTTTTACTTTTAAATCTAAAAGTTTGAAATTGACAAAGTGTGGGATCGAAAACTCGACTTGATTTGCTAATACATCAACTGAATACATGTATTCAAATTGAAGGCTACAGAGATTGAATATCGAAAAAGTGGAGTGCGTAAGAACGAAATAGATAAATTACCTTGTGTCATGTTTGATTGGGCTCTGGCTGAGCTTCAGAAACCTGGATTAAGAACAGAGTGATGTGATTCTGCTGATTATATATGCGAAGAGAGGAATTAATAGAAGTGAAGATAGGGAAATCAATGGAGGTGGAAGAGGAGAAGACCAGAGTGATAACAGACACAAGACGACGATGAGATGAAGGGGTAAGACTGGTTGGTGGGTGGCTAGATTGCAGTTAGGGTGGTGGAAGATTGGCTTGGTGTGGAAGGGAGGAAGGAACGCACTTTATTTGTCCACTACCAAAATATAAAATTGTCACTTTGGATCCATAATGCTACAAAAAGTAGCAGAATTAACCCTAAAGTCCTTTTTTTTAATCAACAAATTAAGGTGGGACACTAGTTTGGAATGAATGTTTTACACATCAATAGCCATTTTATGCATCAAAGGTGGATTTTAGGTATTGATATGTGTATAGTTATAAGTTGTTATAAAATTAAATCTAGAATACAGTGTTAAGAGAGGAAATTGATACAGTGTTAAGAGAGGAAATTAGTAATAATATTCAGTATTTCTTAATATAAAACCAAATATATGGTTAAAATTTTAGTAGAATAAAAAAACCATAATTATAAACCCTAAATGAAAGGAATTTGGTCTTGACATTTAACCGAAAAAATTATACGTTGTTTGTCATATTATTTAGCCCAACAAGACAAGTCATGTGAGCATATATAAAATGACTAGTCTCGGGACTAGTCTAAAATATTGCATATGGACTAAATAAGTGATAAATTGGTCCAAACTATCGATCAGGGTGCAGTCCAACATTTTCAGAGTTTGCGGGTCCCGAGCCAATACCTAATCAGGACTTGGGATTGGTATTCAGGTCTCAAGTTAGACTTGGGTTGCAGCATGTAGTCCGAACTTGCCATAGACTGGTCCAAAATTAACGAAATCAACAAGACTATGTAATCACAAATAAAACAATTGATTCTTTTATTTCTTTATTTGTTGGTTTATAATTATTTTTGTTTGTGGAATTCTTTATTTGATCGAACAATTTAACAATGGTTGTGGCGTTATCATGATTAAATCACTTTGGGTTGAAAGGAAAACCCATAAGGCTAATGTGGTGTCAATAAGATATGCTTACGAGAAAAACTGGAGTAGTGGATTTGTTTGTGAAGAATCTTGACACAGATGCTAAATTGGAGAAGAATTTTGGAAAATTTAGGAGGATTCATTATAGTAAGATTGCCAAGGAGGATTCATTCCTCAATTGGTGTGGATGTAATAACACCATTAACTTCAAAATGAATGGAATGAATACTTCATTTCACATCATTTCTCTCACGAGGCTTTTTTTCTCTTATGTTTGCACCCAATGAGACTTGATAGACCATGGGAAGATTTAAGCCCAAAAACTTAAGTCCACTTTTCACATTAACGCCATCAGACTTAGTAATTTTCAACTAATACCTTAATAGCCTAAATTTTAGCTGCTTCACTTCCATGAAAATCGTTTAATAACATAATTTAATTGAAATCCCAATTAGAACCGGATCCAAAGCGATAAATGGTAACACAAAACTAACCACATAACTTTAACTTAATTTGGGAGGTTCCATATTCAACTATCATCATTGTTTACTCTTCTTCATCAATATCAGAATTAGATACTTGGGTTTTGTGTCAAATTCCTTTTACTACAAAAATGTATGTATATACCACAAGATACGGACAAAAAGAAATGGCTTTGGTCTTCTATTATTTATTTTTTCAAGTAGTGGCAAAACATGAGAAAACGTGCATGGAAAATCAACACACGTTTATATCCTTTGCATTTGATACTTTCGGTTTCCTTGCACCAAAAGCTGTGGAGCTACTCAATAGAGTCCAACGGGGCATGCATAGTAATGTTATGACCCTAAGATCTATAGATGTTTTTAAAAGAATTAGTTTTGTCATCCAAAAGGGGGTTACGACACAGCTTGTTGCTTGTTTACCCGCTACATCTATGTAAATCTTTCCTATGGAACTTAAATATAATATAAAAATTAGTGGCAAGTGTATTTACTAAGTTTATTTTATACGAAGTGATCTGTACATAGCAATATTTTTCTATAAACAAAAATTTATGCTTTATAGAGTTGTATAATACAATATTTTAAAGCATAAATTGTTGTGTATGGAGAAAACTGTTATGTACAAATCAACTTCAAAATAACTCACTTTCTGAACCTTTTCTATGCCAAAGTATAATAGAATTGAGTTAGAGTTTTGACCATTGGGTAAAAAAAGTGTGCCTCACACTTCTATGTGTTTTCCGTCGAGTAATAGTTCTATGCGTTCGGGAGCTGTTGTGACTCAATTGAATACCATCACAATGAGTATACATGAAACATAACATCATTCGTCACCAACATTTGAATATTACAACTGATAGTGTTTACATCCATTACATTGTCTCAAAACATTACATTCCCAAAAATAAATTGTTCAGTTCGTTAATAGATAAACTGCAAGCCATCACTGAGTACATTTTCCTTTGATTCACTGGTTACCTGAGAATACAAGTATTTTGAAAAACGTCAACATATGAAATGTTGGTGAGTTCATAAGCAGTATTTGAAAAGCAACGTTTTGTATTATTTTGAAAACCACCAGAAAATCCGATATTTTCTGAAAAGAGTTTCTGAAAAAGTTTGTGAAGATCCATAAGTATGCTTGTTTGTTTCTATAGTTGTGAAAAAAAAATGTTCATTAAACGTGTGTACATTTCGAAACTGTATGTATTGAAAAACCCTAGGAAAACCCGATGTTTTCCTAATTCTTTGAATTCCATGAAGTTAAAATAAAACCATTGTAACGCGTGAAGTCATTAATTCCAGGCGACGTCGGATTATTTTTGCGCATGATTAATTGCTATAAACAAGCGTTACACAAACGACCAGTTTATAACTATACTAACGATCCCGTAGGCGTCGTCCGTACTAATCACGTTATCCAACCGCCCTGACTCCGAGTAATCCCACATCCGAAGAGAAAGAGGACACGAAGACCCCGATGACTCCATTAACCGGTTGGGATAAAAAAAAAAGGGTACGAGGGGCCCTTGACCCGCCTCGCATGAAATACCGACTTTACTAGCAATACCATAGGACCCTTGGGGACCAATAGTATAAAAGCCATTGAAAGTCCTTTTACGCTGTGTTAGATCATGTAAGACCCAACAACTCGTAAGGTAGAAGTCTTCGGGCCTTAAGATCAGGTCATTGGGCTAGCTAGGCCCAACAAACAAGATTTTACACTTTGGGGCCCAAAGATGGTGCGTAGACGTCTGTGCACTCTCACGTGTATATTGAATTACCAAATGTTTTCGTGTATGAATCGAGTTATCGTCGTGTTAGTATTTTCGGATTGTTATTGATTCGAGACCGAATCAATTCGTTTAACAACGATTTTTGGTATTGTTGTGTATTGTATTACGTAGGTAGTTGCGGTGCCAATATTTGATCAAGTTGCGTGCATTGAATTAGCCTTGAAAGTTTTCTGTTTTCAGCCCCTCATTGTTTGTAAAATTTACTCTTTTCAACCCTCTAATTAAATAACTTTCCGGTTTGGTCCTTAAATCATTTTTCTTGACATTTTAACACCAAAAATTATTGAATTAATATTTTTCAGCATATTTTTCATTGAAAACAGTTTAAGTCCCTGAAATTGCAGTTTTCTCGGTTATAGCCCCTCTTTTTCGCAGTTTTTACAATTTTGGCCCAAATTGGAAATTTTTGCAACTTTGGTCCTTTTTAAATTTGAAAAGCATTTTAAACCTTTGAAAAGTACTTGGAACCTTAGTAGTCCACTGTTTTACAGAAAAACACAGTTTTGGCCCTCCAAAACAGAAAATTTCGCATAATGGGCCCTATTGGGCCGAAATTGTCATTTTTAGCCCATTAAGCTTGAAATTTATATTTTAATCCTCCAAATGAGTATATTTTCAGAAAATATTTCATTGAAACTGTTTTGACACTCCTCATCCATCAGAATTCGTGATATGACATTTTGGGCCCTTTAACTTTATATTTTTAACATTTTATGTCCAAAATTGAGTTTTTAGCCCAAATAAAATGTTATTAAGCCATTTAGCTATTTTTCTTGGAACACTTTGTATGTAGAAATATACTTGATGCTAGTATCATTAATCATAAAGTATATCTCGGTTTTTAGGGGTTTTAAGGCTAGATCCAACATTATAACACACAAAAACACACATATAAGCATAGAAATCATACAAGGCATACAAAACATATATAGATCTACACTTTCACTTGTATTCCCCCCCCCCCCACAAAACTCATAAAAACAGAAAATAGGGGGTATGAAGCTCACCTTAGGGTGTGATTTCGGTTTTTGAAGAAAAGATGGAAGAAAACTTGGTGATTTTTGGCCTTAGCACCCTTTTCTTGAAGATCTCGAGTTTGGTATGCTTCTAAGAGGTAAGATCACGATTTTTGCATGGATTAGGAAAAGATTTTGATAACACAAAGAACCTAAGTCATAGATCCAAGCATAATCTTACCTTAGATGAAGAGTTTGTGGAAATATCCTCTTGAAAGCTTCTTAAATTTCGAGATCTTTGAGTGGAGAGGGAGGAAGTTTTCTTGAGTGTTCTTGAGAGAGTTTGTGAGATGTGTGTGTGTTTGAGATGGCCGAGAGTGAAGGAGGGAAAAGAAGAAGTGATCTTTGAAGTGATACTTGCATGGAGGTATGTGATATGTTGCATGGAAATCCAAAAGACAATAATGAGGTGGCAAACCAAAGTCAACTCCTCACCACTTCTTCTTGGACTTGGGCCTTGGGCCAGAATCTTGAAGGAAAAGGAAAATTTGGGCTTTTTGCCCCTAAGCCCAATATTAGAGTTAGTTTGGGTGAGTTTTAACATAAAAGAATATAGTATGATTTTTACATATTTGTTGGACTAGTTTAGGTTATTCATGGATCAAAGCTTTTAATTCATTTCATTCTAGGCCCAATATGGCCCAAAATGTTGAAATAAATTAATGTGGGTCCAAATAGAGCCCAATTAGGGTTCTATGCCCATGATAGTCAAATTGGAAGCTTATTGGTCCATTTGGGTCCAATAAGGAAGTCCTAGTCCAAAGTGGATCTAAACAAGAACTTCTAGGGTTTCCAATTGTTTGATGACCATTTGTAGCACTTGTAGGATGTATTTGATTGAAGTTTTTGATGTCATAATAGTAGGTATCACACATGCTCTTAAGTTTTGATTCACATTAACTTGAGTGTATAGATTAC